TTCCCCTTCTCAGTAAAAGACACAAATACCTGCCTAATTCCTTAGTCCTAAAACCTAGAATTCTAATTCTTGTCTTTCTCCACACCAATCCACCATCAAATCCTTTCTTCATTATCAGTAAACACTAGCCTAAAGTTTTCCACTTCTCTCAATTTTTAGTGCTACCACCCAAATCCATCAGCTCTCTCTGCTTCCTAAGCGTTCTCTCCCTCAATGAACTCTTGAATCATTTCTTTTCCTAAGATCGGTTCCACACTTATCAATCAAGTTATTTTCTCCTTTATTTTTTATTTTTATATTTTTGAGTTGGAGTCTCACTCTGTCGCCCAGACTGGAGTGCAGTGGCCGCTCCCGGCCACCGCAGCCTCGACCTGCTGGGCTCCGGCGATCCTTCCGCCTCAGCCTTCCAAGTAGCCAGAATTACAGGCATGCGCTACCATGGCCGGCTGAGTTTTTGATTTATTGTAGAGATGAGGTCTTGCTGCCCAGGCGGGTCTCAAACCCGCAGGCTCAGGCAATCTACTCACCTCAGCCTCCCAAAGGTGCGGGATTACAGGCTGAGCCACCGAGCCCGGCTTTATTTTCTCCTTTAAAAAGTAGCTTACTGTGAAATATTTACAACATACAAATGCCACAAAGAATGATGGACACACATCTCACCACGTATCTTAAGAAATAAAACATTACTAGTGCAGTTGGAGTCCTGTGTTATTTTCTCCATCTCTGTTCATTGCTTCTTCTCCCTCCCACGTGAGTCTCCATCTTGAATTGGGGTATTTATTATTTCTAGACATTTCGTTATGCTTTTTCTGTATATACCCCTAACTCATACATAGGAATGTATGTTAAAACACTTTGCATAAGTGATGCCATTCTACAAATATTCTTCCATAATTTGCTTTTTCTGCTCAACATTGTGTGAACTTCATCCATATTTGTATGTTTAATTCCACTTCATATGCTTTTCTTGATTGATCATCTTATTCTATTGTATGAATGAATATGTGATACTTTAAATATCCAATCCCCACACAACTGGAAATCTGAAAACAGACATTTGGTCAAACATTATTTGAGGGTATTGGATGAGATTAACATCTGAATCAGTGGACTGAATGAAGCAGACTGCCCTCCCTCATGTGGGTGGGTGTCATCCAATCAGTTGAAGACCTGATCAGAACAGAAATATTTGAGTCAAAGGGAATTCCTCTATTGTTGCCTTGACACCACCTTCCTTGCCTTCAGACTTAAACTGAAATTTTGACTCTTCCTGGGTTTTGAGCCTGCCGACTTTTGACCTGGAACTATACTATTGTCTTTCCTGGGTCTCCAGCTTGCTGGGTGCAGTTCTTGGGACTCCTCAGCCTTCATAATCTTGTGAGCCAATTTCTTGTAGTAAATCTCTCTCCCTCTCCCTACTTCTCTTCCCTATTGGTTTTCTGGAGAACTCTGACTAATACAACAATTATATATGTATTATTGAATTATTTTTCTACAGCTACTGATAAATCATGTTGTTTTTCTCCTTGAATGTAGTATGATCATTAAATCCATTAAAATATTTTCTGGCCGGGCTCAGTGGCT